TTGCTTAAATTGCAGCTCACCTGCGGGGATGAGTGCTTTTCTGACAAACTCAGATGGCATCCGAGCAACTCAATGCAAGAATCAGTATTTATTAATTAGATTTTTTCCTTTGTTGCAGGGAAATATCCTTCGGAAAATGTTTTAAGAACACTCGAGCAAAACAACTGATCCAGAGCATGCGGGAAGGAAGGTGATTGACAAGGCATCTTTGATTGGCCTTCTTCGTCTGTCTTCTTCTGCAAGTTAGAGTTCTGAGAACAAAGTGGAACCTAAATTTCACATCAACTTCCAAACTACTTGTTATGATAAACACGGCGTGAAGAGAAACTTCAGAAACACTACTAAAATATGAACTTTAGTCAGCCTGGCGAAAACTCAACCCAACAAAGTCATCACTTGCTTACTTGTGTGTCAAAACAATTATCTGTTTTTAGCTTCATTATCTATGCCGCTATTTTCTGTCTTGGTGTGTCTGGAAACTTTTTTGTCATTTTTACGGTATTCAGAAATTCCAAGCTGCATACGCCATTCAATTACTTAGTTGTCAACCTGGCTGTTTCTGACATGTCTGTTCTGCTCTTTTCGTTGCCTATTGTCGTATTCAGTGAATGTTTTTCATGGCCCTTTGACGAGTTTCTATGTAAGTTGTCTCGCCCATCGTTCCTCACTTTTACCGGTGTGTCTGTTTGCACGATGGTAGCTCTGAGTTTCGAAAGATATCAAGTTGTAGTGCATCCTCTGTTACCAAAAATGACACGTAGGAAGGCATTTTTCATCATCGTGTTCGTCTGGGTTTTTGCGTTTTTTACATTTGGCCTTCCAAGATTTTTTGTCTTCGGGCTAACAACTGAAAAAGGAATTTTACAGTGTGACCCAGTTAAGAAGAGTTTCCTCATAAGTACAGTGACGAAGATAATCCGGCTTACCATGACGTTAATCTTACCTTGTATCGCTGTATCATGGGCGTATAGCCAAGTAATGCGCAAACTTAGAAACGAGCTCGCTCTTATCGGAGACGCATTTGCATCACGCGACAGAGAGAGGTTGCGAGCGAAGAGAAACATTAAAACAATGCGCCTTCTTGCCACAATTATTCTCGTAAGTCTGCTCATATTGCTCCGGTACTTAAGGAACTTCACTGGTTGCCGGTGAAATTTTAGAGTAGAATTTAAGATTGCGCTTTTAGTTTTTAAAACGTTCAATGGCCTGGCACAACAATAAATATCTGAACTACTTGTTGTAAAGCCTAGAACTAGATACAACCTGCGGCCTGAAACATTGCTGCTAATCCCTAGGGTGACACGGAAGACTTTTGGCGATCGAGCCTTTTCCCATGCTGGACCAACAGTATAGAATGCCTTGCCATCTAGTCTTAGAAGCTGTAGGAACACTGACTCTTTTAAAGTAAAGTCGAAGACTTAAATTTTAAGAAAGCTTTTAATTTGTAACTTTATATTCTTATTACTAGTATTATTTATGTCATCTCATAGCCTTAGCTACTATATGAACTTTGACTTTTTTAAAGTACAGTTGAAGACTTATCTTTCTTCTTAAGAAAGCTTTTAATATTGTACAGCGCTTTAGAATATTTCAATAGTTAAAGCGCTATATTAAATGTAATAAATTATTTATTTGTTATTATATTAATTTGCCGTTGTTAAGGGTGCAGAAAACGCTGCGTCAACGTTCACGCAACGTGTCACGCATTTAAAAAAAATCATTTTATTTGATGACGATATTGTGGTGAAAAACCAAACCGACGGTGGTTTAGCTTAGTCTGTACTCTTATCGACAACGATATTCTCTATCGCAGCGGTCAAAATGTTAAGGTTTCAGGAGGCGCAGCCGAGTACAGACCACACTGAACCACTATCGATTTGTTCAATTCATATCAGTTACCTAGTATGACGTTATCATTAGTATTGACGCGCACAAATCCTACAAAATTGCCAAGGAGCAATCATTTAGAGCTTCAGAAAGGGGCAGCCTTTGATTTCTATGGCACGATTCTGGTTTTCCAAAGATTCGCCTTTGCGGAGCAGTTTGTGACTCGCATTCGAGGAAAGAAAATTAAAGGAAATACGATTGGAAAGTTATGAGGGGGAAAACCTGAGTTTAAAGTGAATTTATACTCACCAGCGCAACAGAAACACGGAGGGAGAGTTATTCCAAGTAAAATGTAGAGAATGCCCATCATGGCTGCAAGGTCACGATTGAGCTCCATCGCTATAAATTGAAATATACGGCTCATGATAATATTTCCATGATCATGTTTGAGTCGTCACCAAGCGATTAAAATGTAATTATCACATACACTCGATGATATCTTTCTCAATCAGGAGTACATTTCAATTCAATCTATTGGCTGTCTTCTTTAACGAAACCTTCACTACCCCGAAAATAAGACGGACAAAATTATGTCCGCCTAAAAGTGTTGATTTTGTTGGCTAATGTGCTCGTTCTAAAATGTCATTTAAACTTTTATCACTTGACAGTTAAATTCTAAAGTTCTCATAAAATATTGACCGGTTGCATCACCCAGTTTGCAGGAGTAAAATAAATTACAACGAAAATAACGCAACTATTCTCAAAGAAACGATTGCACGTCAATCTCTCAGCTGTATCTACGATTGTTATATTTTGATCTCAAGTATTATCCTTTAATGGGCATGGTGTTAAGACCGTGAAGGCTCTGGTGAAAACGGAGATAATTAGTCTGTAAATATGCGCATTTACGTAGTTTTTCTCCTGCGGCAAGCACCACTAACAGCAACTATGAACGTCTTTTCCAAAGTCGAGAGCAACTTAGGCTAGATCAGTATAATTATATAATAATATGTATATGTGCACGATCCTTCGCAGTAAAGCACTATTTGAGCAATAGTGAAAATCAGACCTGAAAAAAATTTCAGGCCNCTCGGTACAAAAAACTGGCAATAAATAAGGGCGAGGTAATAAAACTATAACGAAATTTACATACAGCAAATAACAAAGGAGCGTAACTAACGAAATACCGGAGGGAACAGAAAAGAATACACGATAACAAGTAAGTGAGAAAATGAAAATAAAAAGAAGAAAAATTTGCCCCAACATCTTCCATGGCGGCTTCGGTTTCTTTCATCTTTTCTACAAAAAATTTCACAATCCAAATTTTGACTTCCTCCTCTTGATCGCGTTTTATGGCTGCATCCTTCAAGATGTCAAAGACATGCGCTTCAAATTCTTCCTGGGTCATGTGCGCCATTTTTATGGCTTCCTCCTCAATGTCTCTTCCTGTGTCTTCCTGTCCCGTGTCCGAATCTTCCTGTCCTACGCCGCCGCCGGTCGTCTTGTTTTAAAATCTCGCGTAGGAGTACCAGAAATACCCACACATCTCTGTAATCTGCCACGCGGGAAATAAGGCGATGACGAATTTCTAACGTTGGGGTCGTTTCAAACCTTAAGATAGCATGCAACAAGACGCTAGCGCGACCCGATTTATTACAAGCATGTGTATCGAATTTATAAATTTCGTGTGGGCAAAGATAGGACTGATAAATCGGGAAGGTCTTTACAGAACTCCATCCTCCCATAAAATGACTACTCACATGTAATGACAATCACATTTATCGTAGTATCAGTAAGTAAATTCCAAAAACATCACAATTTTTTCTGGGTGAAAGCGATCCTACTCCTTTTCACGTTATACATTCGTAAAATCAAACTTTTTACTTTTTATTTTTGTCCTTACATCTATCCAGACGCTTCATTTTTTCTGATAACTTCTCTTCAACTATGTGTCTCAACACTTTCTTTACTGCTGCAAGGGCTTTTTTTTTCTTCTCTACATATATTGGATCGTTGTCCACCTCTGGCATGTGCTCCCTAAAGTGGTCTTTCTCCATCGATATCGTCTTCTCGCTTCAGGATATCAAGAAGGGTATCGAGTAGATCCACAACTTGCTCTGGCTGCAACTTTAGTACATAGTGTCTATCTGCCATTTTTTCTGCCATTTTTTGGGTGGAAGTTGATCTGACTGATGAGGTACTTCTTACTTCGACTTGAAGGGAAAGAGGATGACTCGTGGTTTGACTCTCTCAGATATATATACTTCTAACCCATCTAGAACGTGAATACTCCTTTGTTCCTGTGAAACTGCTTTCACCAGTCTTTGATGAACCGATGCGATTCCAGTGATTTTTTTGAACCACTCTGGGGAATATTTTTCACATGTCAATGTCACCAGTTCACTCATGACCTCTGCGTGGCTTAACATGGGATTACGGAACGTCGCAAAGACTTCTGTCACATTGTCAATGAAAAAATTATTTTTCCTTAACCGATCACCCAATGTTCAAACATGTGGAGCTGCATGTGACCACCGATAGGATTCGGCCAGTCGTTGACTTCTTGCACAATGTCATCAAATACTTTTTCACAGGTATCCATGAATTGATATTTACTGACAGGGTCTTTCATGTGGAGGTCAGGGAATTTCTTGTCAAAGACGGCTTGTAAATACCGCAAGAAATAATACACTTTCATGGTATATC